TGTAGACGACAGCGGCATCCTGACCAATCACAAGTTTGCGTTGTCCGTCTCGACGGACGGATGTTTAGAAAAGAGCTCGACTCCATCCGTCCTTGCGGAGCTCTCCAGCAGGCTCGCAAGGACGGATGATCCTCCGGATAATGGCGTTGCGTGTCTCCGCACTGACGCAGACAGAGAAGCATGAATCAGGCTTTAGCCTGTGAAAGATCAACCACAGCAAAGGAATACAGATTAACCTTCATTCTCTCAGGTATGAAATAAAAATAACATTAAATATGTTAATAAATCACTAAAATCAAAGCTAAACACTGCCTTTTTCCCATCAAACGAGTCTCAATAGGAATAATTTCTGCAAAAAAAAATTTTTGTGATGGAAAAACTAAAAATCCACAAACTGAATTAGTATAAAATTAAATGTGTTTACAGCCGTGCACACAGGCATCATTTGTGGGGTAACAACGCAAGAACTGATTGCTCACAGAACCAAACACAAGGTGTAAGTGGTATTTCTGAAAAATCAATGTGTTTGGATTTGATAGCGGATGTGTAGGCAAGTCAAAGCTACAAAAAAAGGATCCCCTCAGGATCTGTTGCCAACATTTTGGTACCAAATGTTTCAGGAAAGTCTCAAAGCTGTTTTAGCAGCAGGATTGTTGTTTTATATCACTATGGTGATAAATGAGGTTCTGAAAGAGGAATTCCTTCGGCTACTTGGGTTTTAATAAGTTTGGATTTTACAATTTTTTTTTTACAAAATGTTAATAACTATTCCAAAACTAAACAAAATCTATTTAATCTTTCAAAAAGTCAAGTGAATATCATAAAAAATAATTTTCTTTTTTCACACTTGTTATGTTTTATGCTTTTTGTAGCAAATACAGCTAAATTACTTGCCAACAAGAGCCTACTCACTCACTCACACACACACACACACACAAACACACTCATTCACAGCAGTCTGTTACCCTAACTAAACCTTAACCCAAACACCACAAAATAACTTTAGTTTTCCTTTTATCTAAACAAAATGTTCACATTTCTTCTTTTATCCAACCCAATGAGCAGAGAAAAGCAGAGAGATTGCACTGACATGCAGGCAGACGGTTAGAGAGGAGGCCCCCCTCGACACATTTTTTAAAACACACTAAACATTTCAAAATATTTGTGCAGAGGAGGAAGAAAAAGAGGTTAAAAATCTGTGTTTTCTGAAGACGGGGCTACGTCATGGAGAAAAGTGGAGAAGGGGCAAAAGACAGCTTTTTAGAAATGCCTGCATGGGCATGGAAATATAAAGAAGGGGGTAGTGGAGGTGGTGGTGACAGAGATGGGAATATATATTCATGCTTAGAAATAAAATTACATCACTGCTTTGAAAAATGTTTGTGACAAAAGCAGAGAGAGAGAGGCACTTTATACCAAGCATCACCTCAGCATCTGCTCTTATTTGGAAATGATCTCCAAAATAAAAAACACCATTAGACATGCAATTGGATTTGATGGATCCCTCTACAGTTCCATGTGGGCTGCATGTCTAGGGTGATCATATTTCCCACTTGGATGAATAGGAAATGGAGCTCGTTCTCTCTGAATTATCAGCATTTGTCTTCATAAAAGCTGCACAGTTAATGTCAAAGGCTTTCTCACAGGAGCCTGATCGTATTGGCACCCTGTGCCTTCATAACAACTAATTACTATATTACGGAGCAGGAAATGGGTGACAAGAGCCACTGCTCCCTCTGTGTGAGCGCACCTGTCTGATTTTTTATTCCACACATAATTCCAGAGCACAGAAGTGTGATCAATGCAGGCGTGATGCAGACCTATAATTAAAACCTGGTTTAGCTGCAAGGCTGCATCTGCTGCTGCACTCTGTACCCTTTGTCGGCCACCAGCGGTTCTGAGGCCGGTTCTGTGGCTGAATGTGATGCAATTATCCTAAAAAACCTGCACGAGGATTCAAATCAGGTGGGCAGAACGGGGATGCGTCGTATCTTTTGTGCCCAAGTCCCCCGGGGACAAAAATTACCATGATTACCCTGAGGTCTTGTGTTTAAACCACAAACAAGCTAAATTAGACTGATTTGTCAAACATCAGACGAATGATACAATTACTGATAATTATTAAAGCATTTTGAGACAAGGAATACAAAACTCGTTCACCTTGAACAAGCAATGTCATGACAGCAAAAGTAATTATGTCTTTACGGACTTATTTAAATTGATATCTAAATGCTTTATTAGATTGATTCGAAGATTAATTATGATCTGACTATTAAAGATCAGACCAGAACTCTGTGATCTGGTCTGTGATGGTCAGTATCCTGCATGGTTAAGATGTTTGCTCCCTTGATTTAAACTGGGAGTATTAGAGCAGAGAAACATCTAAAAATAAAAATAAAAGAATAGGCTAATTTGTGAATTAGATTATTCCTTAGACTGACGCACATGATTACAGCGATTTAAATAGCTTTTTAGTGTGTTAAGTTCTGCAGAAGCCCCCAGTTATCCATCTTTGATTGGATAATTGATTAAAGTACGTTAACATCAAGAGAATGCACGACAATGCTTCAGAGCAGGGTTAAAATCACATCAATGTTTCTTGTTTTCTTGAAGTGAAAGCAGAAATCTGGAAACTTCCCCTTTTCAGGAATTATGTTTTTTAATCCATAACAGTGATAGTCTGACCTTGTTCTGTGATTTCATGTGGGCAATAACTCATTTGTTGTCAAGCTTGACCCCGTTCCAAATAGATGTCAATCACATGCATGTACATTTGCAAGCTGCATTTTGTGTGTGCGTGTGTGTGTGTGTGTGTGTGTGTGTGTGTGTGTGTGTGTGTGTGTGTGTGTGTGTGTGTGTGCATCCCGAAAAGAAAATGCCACCCCAAACAAGACTCACACACTCTAAAATTTCATTTAGCATCACTTTAGCTTTGATTACAGCGTGCATTTGCTTTGGCGTTGTTTTGAAAAGCTTCTGCAACATCACCAGGTGTGTTTCCATCCAGTGTTGCATTAATGCTTCACCAAGATCTTACATTGATGATGGTAGAGTCAGACCGCTGCACAAAGCCTTCTCCAGCACATCCCAAAGATTCTCAATAGGGTTAAGGTCTGGACTCTGTGGTGGCCAATCCATGTGTGAAAATAATCTCTGCTCCCTGAACCACTCTTTCACTATCTGAGCCCGATGAATCCTGGCATTGTCATCTTGGAATATGGCCGTGCCATCAGGGAAGATGGAATGACCTGGTCATTCAGTATATTCAGGTAGTCAGCTGGCTCCGTTCTTGGAGCACAACCTGCAGCAAGCCCAGATCATAGCACTGCTCCCACAGGCTTGTACAGTAAGCACTAGGCATGGGTGCCTCACTTCATCTGCCTCTCTTCTTACCCTGATGCACCATCACTCTGGAACAGAGTCCATCTGGACTCATCAGACCAGTTTGTGTTCATAACCTTTTCTGCATCTCCTTAGATGTTTCCTCTGCTTGATGCATGCCAATGATCTGGCCCTTCTCAAACATCTTTTCCACAACCACCAGATGTGTCTTTCCACACGGTTGTTCGAGAAATGACAAGCAACTCATAGCACCAGTAGGGATTAAATAACTTGTTGCAGCTGAAAGATAATTAAATATACAAGTAAGGTTGGACAGAAAATATATAAATCTGTGAAATATCTACATCATATTGCACATTTAACTGCATATTAAAGATGTGTAAAAGAACAACGTCTTAGCTGCATAACTATGCTTGTAAAATGCCAGCACAAATGATTGGCTCTTGTCCTACATTCTCTCTCTCTGTAGGTGGCTGCAGAAGCAAGGGAACCAGGCAATGCATCACAACTGCTGTTTAGAGAGAGTCTCTATGTCCCAAAAGTGGGTTAAAATATGCTCCAAATAAATCAGCAGCTCATTAAGGATTTGGTCCGCGCAACTAAGCCTACCAGGGAGAATACAGCAGAGCAGGGCCATTTATCTCACATATTCTACCTGGACCTCACAGAGCTGTGCCAGGCTGAAGGTACTACATCCTGAGAAGATGAAGTCTAATTACATCAAACCCGAGGCTTTAGGGAAGGATTTGGCTCTGATTCTGCAGGAAAAAAACTCACTTTCCAACCAACCCATTACAATCACAGTCATACAGATTTCTAGGTACATTCATCAATAAAAACCTTAAATGGAAAAAGCACGCAGATCAAATTTACAGAAAAGGCAAATCAACGTTTATTCTTTCTTAGACAACAAAAAAAATTGAGTCAGGTACAATATCCTGTTTCAGTTTTACAATGCCATTATCCAAAGCATACTCTCCTCATCTATAATTGTCTGGTATGGTTTGGACTCACAATCACAAAAATAAACTACAACGTATAATAGATAAATCATCCAAAACTACAGGTCACACCCTCCCTTCCATTGACTCATTATATCATCACAGATGCATTACACAACGGGCGGTAAAAATCATCTCTGATCCTTCACACCCTGCATTCCAACTGTTTATATTGCAGACGTCTGGAAGACGTACAGGTCCCTACCGACCAAATCAGTTAGATTCAGGAACAGTATCTCCTGACAGCTGTACGGTCAATAAATCAAGTCTTTACCTGAAATGTCTATGTGTTCCTGCCATTGAATGTGGACTGCTGTGTGAAGACACTGAGATGTGAGATGTGAGCATGCCATGCTGTACTGAAAACAAATTCCACCAACTTGTTGTGTGGTCATTAATAAATTAATCTGAATCTGAATCTGATTCTGAATCTGAATCTGATTGTGGTGTGGGTGTTTTGCATCCATCTCTGTGAACATGCGTACTTCTGAAAACTCACTAGGAAGTCATTGAATCTCTTTGCAACTCTAATTATCGGTATGTCCCTGTGAAAAATTTCCATCATCTTTGAAATGCAAAATTGAAAGAGTCATTTATATTACAAGTACAGAAGTGAAATTAGGCAATAAAATCCTTAAGTGAAGTCGTGGGTCCTACCTATGAGGACAGAGCGTCCATCTCCAAGAGGGTAGCGCTGGTAGCGCGGCACAGCAAACGGAGGCAACTTGTGGAAGAGAGGCTGCAGCAGCGGCTCCAGCCTGGAGGCCGAAGGATCCGAGGGGTAAAACAGGTTGAAGATCTGAGAACAGGCTGGACGAAGCTGACTCACTGAGGAAATAAAACAGAGAGATGACACACGAGAGTTGTAAGCAAGAGTCGCTATCCAAAGTTTGTCTCTTTCAAATGTAGAATTGTATTTAAACTTGCAATAGTAAATTTGGGAAACAAATTCTAACATTAGCTAAAAATATATTGTAGAGATTTTTTTTAATGAAAAAATGTGTTAAAGAGGTTCTCTTGCATTTGTTTTTAAACCTCACCAATAACGTTTGTGACCAAAAGCAACTATCGGATCGCCTGGTTGTTGGTCTTGCCAAACCACCGCACTTCCCTGAGGCCTTCATTCATTACAGTCTCCTGTCTTTAGCAACAAAGCACCGCTGGTGTGAGAGGTTCTCCGCTCAGTAACGTCAGAGAAGGAGAAACAGCCGGCTGCTACCACTTCTGCCTCAGGACAAACTACCAGAGGCCCAAAAAGAAAAACACCATTTGAAGTCACAGACGATAAAAGATGCTTGGACCTAGAAAATGGCAACTGGTGTTTAGCGCTATTTTGTTCCCTTCTGCATCACAGGTTTCTGGTTTCCGCAGAAGCATCTGAGGGAAGATACCTGAAGGGAGGGGTGAGTGTTCTGTGTTTGCGTTTTGAATCTAGCTTTTTTTGCAGATTCTCCATAACAGTTTTAATTTAAGACAATAGTCAAAAACAAATCATTACAATCTGAAAAAGATGTGCATTACAGTAAGAAATGGTATTTTTAACCGTTTTAAAATACATTTTACATAATAATATGTTTTACAGTGCAGCACTGATAGCTAACAACATTCATAATAAGAAATGTGTTCAGTTAAAGCAACAATCTGGAGTTTTCCCACCTCTCAGAAATTGTGTCTGATTTTTTTTAGAAATCTATAACAGTGAAGTCTGTGCTGTGATTTATTGTAGGCAATGTATCTTTCTTTATTCGCTAAGCCTCTCTTCCTGTAGAGCCCCTTGCAATTTTTCCTTAGCGCTGGTGTGTGTGTGTGTGTATATATATATATATATATATATATATATATATATATATATATGTATATATTTTTTTTCTCTCTCTCTCTCTGTTGCTCGGCTTCAGGTATGCTGCAAGAGGTGCTACGTCCAGACGTAATCATGGAAGTAGGGAGAGGGGCTTAAAGGTGCAGAACACTTTTCCACCACTAGATGGAGCCCTCTGAGGAAAAACTCTAGATCTCTGCTTTAATGTATTCTAAATTGTGTTTCATAAATAAAATAGTGTATTTTATGGGTTGTATTCCTACCCTGAACAGCTGGCAGCACCGTGCGTCTCATGGCCAGCACGAGTCCCAGAGGACAGCCAAGCAGGAAGCAATCTGACACCTCAAAGTCAAATCGGCCAGGGTTCAGCACCAGACTGGTGCTGCTGCCACCACGCACCTCCACACTGTCCTTCATCAAACTGGGGATTCAACATAAATCACATCATGTTCTCGTAAATGCAACAAAAAATAAACTCCACCATGTTATTATTTCCAGAACATTGAGCTACAAGATGAAGAACGTATGTTGTGGCTCAGTTCTTGTCAGCCTCCAACTCATAATTGCATCTTTTAATGAACAATCAGCCAATAAATGAATGAACTTGAGAAACTCATACCCAAAAACATTCTAAAATTCGAATGCAAAATGACACAACGACAAAAGTGGAAGTAGCAGGATATGGGAGTAGAAAACAGCTAAACTAATCCGAAATTTTACAACTCAATAAAAATGATTTACGGAATTGAAAATAAATGTTTTGTTTACGATGAGTCAGAAATCCCTTTGGTGTTCTCTGATGCAAACATTGGCCAGTTAGTCTTTTATTATTCTGCAGTAGCTGTGAGCACCAAGCCTAGATGACTCAGCCTGCATCACTCAGACAGCTGTTTAAAGAGCCGAGCCAGTCACAGGCACATCCTCTACTGCTGACTGACTCCATCCTTCTGCTTAACAGCTCACCAATGTTTCCCCATTAATTCCTACATGTGGAGGAAGGATTAGCCAACAGTCCCTAGCCATCTGTAAAAGTTAAATCAATGCGTCTTTGATTGCTTTCCGCTGCTATTTTTGAGGTTTAAGGTTCTCTCGTGTTCATCTTTCTATCAAACTGTTGTTAAAAAATAAATTGCTGCAGAGAAAACATCCTCAGTTGGAATGAAAAGCCTCCTGTTTCGATGAGTAACCAGAGTGCATGTGGAGGTGTGATTAACAGATTGGATGAGGACACTTCTGTTATTTACAGGAAGTTGAATTGAAGATATTAAAAGATGTGGATTCTGAGTGAGTTCATGAATCAGCTCAGCTGTGCATTCTGTGTCGTAGAATGTGTTTTCTTGGCTTTATTCCTCTTTTGCAGCTACATCACTGATGTTTGTTTTTGTTACACTAAATAATTGACAAAATAGTGCAGATCTTTATTTAAATTAAAATAGTAGATTTTGTCCTGACTGAAATGTTGTTTCTCTTAGAGCTACAAATGTGTATTAGGGTCATGGGAAAATAAAATTTTCATTTTTATCATTTTCCAAACTAAAGTTGAAAAGTCAGCAGATGTAGTCAAAATCTAATTTCCTGAATTAAAATCAGGTCAAAATAACAAAAAATCAGTTATTTTGAAATTCTAAGGAAAATCAAGATCTAACCTTGTACAATACCCATAATGCATTGTGTAAATAATCTATGGTGACTTTATACTTTATACTTTAGGCTAAGAAGTTTTCTAGCACAAACAACATTTTGCATCTGGAATACCTTCTCAGAATTCCTGGTGGTGCGAGTTTAGAACAAAGACAATAAAGTATTATTAAAAGCTTCAAATGTATATTGGGATGTGTGTGCAGGTTCGAGACTCGGGAAGGATTGAAGGATATTCTGTGACTTCGACTGTGGACACTGCGAGTAAGTAAAAGCCACTACTTGGAGGAATTAATGCCTTGTAAGTAAGTCTTACTCTGAAGGAAAAAAAGCTCTGGTGCACCTGGAGGACAGAGAATTCAGCTGGATGAGAGAGTGGCAGAACGGCAGGATGTGGAGTCTTATTTCCTGATATTTGGACATCTCACCTCAGATTGGACAACAGCATCTCGCCTCTACCACTGACTCTGTTTGCTTTGCAATGTTGATGTTTTATCTCCACAAATAACACAAGCCTGAAGGAGTTCTGCTGTGTGGTGGAGTTGCTAATGCTAACAGTTAGCTTCTACAGGTGGAGACGTTCTCAGCTGTGTCCAGGATGTTAAAACAATAACAGCCTTCCCATCATCAGCCAAGATGGGTGAGTCCATGAATGTTCAGTGACAGTGTGACGTAGTCTGTCAGGCTTTTGAAATTCTAGAGTTTCACCATCTATTGTCTATCAGAAGCTAATGCAGGAAATAGGTGTAGAAGACTATTTTCATATTTAGCCTTCATGAAAAACTCAGTGACCAATTATAATCCGAAATCATAATTAAAAATGTTTTTCTGTGCAGTTGACCTTTCAATTGTCAAGATGGAGTATTAGGATTAGTACTTTCATGAAAAGCCTGCCCCCTGGTGGACAATCTTCATGCTTATTTCTTAATTACGATTGTAGTTTATTTTTAGATTGTTTAGTTTTCCGACTATTCATAATTTAAAATCAACCTTTTCTAGTTAGGACAGACTGGTTAAATACCACGGCTGATAATTAAATGAATCAATAGAGCACTTGCTGTTTAAAGATCATCCAAACAAGTTGTTGCTTTTTTCATAAAGCAGAAATACGATCATTTGCACATCATCTCAAGGGTGATTTCAGAGCCAACAGCAAAGGAAAGAACAAGCCACACATAAAAGTATTTCTAACTAGAGACTGAGATCTGAGATGGGAGGATTAATGTAGGGAACAAAGATTTAATAGGTCTGCTAGAAAGATCTATAGGGATCTGTGAGAGAAAAAGATAAGAGCAAAGTGTCCTCTGTACAGGCTTGCTCAGACTTAATAAGGAGTGCCTGTCTACCCTCTCATCTGTGATCGGCTTAATTAAGCAACTCAGTTTGCCTCAGATGGTTGTTTGTGGTCAGATATTTATTCTCCAGTGGAGGTGAGGAGACAAGTGAGCAGTCAGGCTTCAAATGTGGATAAACAGAAATGAGAGGTGGTGGCACGTCCCAGACAAACCTGGATGACAGATGGTGCCTGGGCCAAAGATAATAGATTCTCATTATTCATCCATCCATCCATCTATCTACTGATCCATTCATCTATCCATCCATCCAACCACCATCCATCCATCTACTGATCAATCCATCCATTCATCCAATGATCAATCAATCTATCATCTACTGATGCATCCATCCATCCATCCATCCATCCATTTACTGATCAATTCTTCTATCCATCTATCATCCATCCATCTACTGATCAATCAATCTATCCATATATCTAAACATCATCCATCCATCTACTGATCAGTCCATCCATCCATCCATCCATCCATCCATCCATCCATCCATCCAATGATCAATCAATCTATCCATCTACTGATCCATCCATCCATCCATCCATCCATCCATCCATCCATCCATCCATCCATCATCCATCCATTTACTGATCAATTCATCTATCTATCCATCATCCATCCATCTACTGATCAATTCATCTATCTGTATATCTAAACATCATCCATCCATCTACTGATCAATCTATCCATCCATCCATCCATCCATCCATCCATCCATCCATCCATCCATCCACTTATCAATTAATCTATCCATATGTCTAAACATCATCCACCCATCTACTGATCAATCCATCCATCCATCCATCCAATGATCAATCAATCTATCCATCTACTGATCAATCCATCAATCCATCCATCCAACCATCACCCATCCATCTAGTAAGTAAGTAAGTAAGTAAATTTTATTTATATAGCACTTATCACAGACCTAGAGTCACAAAGTGCTTCACATAGATAGAAACAAAATAAAACTAAGCCATAAAATCATAAATAGATTAACATCATAACATCAAAATGCTCTAAAAACAGAATTAGATTAACATCAGAAAAAATAAAGACATAGAATTAAAAAATTTCATAAACAGATGAAAAATTTTAAATTTGAGTTAAAAATAAGAAAATAAAAGGTTTCGTTAAAAGCAGCTTTAAATAAAAGGGTCTTTAGCTGTTTTTTAAAAGTGTCCAGACTGTCAATGCTGCGTAAGGATAAAGGAAGATCATTCCAGAGTCGGGGTGCAACAGTCTGGAAGGAGCGATCACCTCGACTTTTGAATCTGGTCTTTGGAACTTCTAGAAGGTTCTGGTGTGTGGACCTGAGGGCTCGGGTTGGAGCAGGCTTTAACAGTTCAGTAATATAGGGAGGAGCTTGACCATGTAGAGCAGGGGTGGGCAATCCCAGTCGTCAAGGGCCGCTGTCCATCAGGTTTTACTTGTTTCTCTGCTTAAACACACCTGGTTTGAATCTACTAGTGATTAACAGGCTGCTGCAGAGCCTGATGAGCTGCTGAACAGGTGATTCATCCAGGAATCAGGTGTGTTGGGGCAGGTAAACAACTAAAACCTGCTGGATAGCGGCCCTCGAGGACCAGGATTGCCCACCCCTGATGTAGAGCATTGAAAGTTATAATCAGGATTGTAAAATGAACTCTAACGTTAACGGGAAACCAGTGAAGAGACATTAGAATAGGAGTGATGTGTGCTCTTCTGTTTGCTCCAGTTAGGAGCCTCGCTGCAGAGTTCTGGACCAACTGAAGGCAGTCAAGGGCTTTTTATCAAAACATGTGAAGAGTGTGTTACAGTAATCTAATTGGGAGGAGATAAAGGCATGGATAACCATTTCAAGTTCATGTTTTGACACCAACCTTCGCAGTTTGGAGATATTTCTTAAGTGATAAAAATAGTTTCGGACCAACATTTTTGAGTGACCTTCAAGAGACATTGATTGGTCAAAAATAACACCCAAATTTCTTAAGTTTGTCTTGATGGCAGAGGATAAATGACCAAGTTTTATACTAATCAGGGGAACCATGCTCTCAGGGGCAATGATCAGATATTCAGTCTTTTCAGAGTTTAACTGAAGGAAGTTATCTTCTAGCCAGCTGGTAACGGCTGATAGACACTCTAGTAATTCAGACAGTTTGTAGAACTCAGAATCCTTAAAGGAGCAGTACAGCTGAATGTTATCTGCATATAGGTGATAAGAGACATCATGAAAATAATCAAGTATCTGTCCAAGAGGGTGTATGCACAGAAGAAACAACAGTGGACCCAAAACAGAGCCTTGGGGTACCAGTAGAATCTGACAAGATTTGGTTTATACAGACACTGTAACTTCTGTTAGAAAGGTACGATCTAAGCCAGTCTAGAACAGTTTCAGAGATCCCCACCGAGTCACCAAGTCTGTTAATTAAGGTTCTGTAATCAACAGTGTCAAAAGCTGCAGAAAGATCATATATCACTAGCACTATGAACTCCACGTTGGGGGGGGGGGGGGGGGGGGGGGGGGGGGGGGAGATGGTGGTGAAAAACTTGCACTGATGTTTCTGATTTTATTCCCAAAGAATGCTATAAAGTTGTTACAGTCGGACCTTGAGTAAACTGGCATAAGAGGGGCGTGAGGTGAAACAATCTGATTTATGTGTCAAACAGGACTTTTGAGTTATTTTTGTTTACAGCAATCAGCTGAGCAAAGTAAGTGGCCCTGGAAGTTTTCACCGTCTCATTCAGAGATGTTACCAGTTCTTTAAAGTACAGCCGGTGACTTTCTAATCTAGCTGACTTCCAACGTCTCTCGGCTCTGCGGCATGTCCTGAGACTGTAAATGCTTTCATTAATCCAGGGACTTTTTCTCTTGCTAGAAAAAGTAACCTGCTTAACAGGAGCTACTTTATCTAAGATACTGCAGCATTGTTTATCCAATGACTGGATGAACAAGCTTGAATCATCACCCTGAACTGAGCTGCTGTCAAATAATCTAGAAAATCCATCCACTGCTGACTGATCAATGATACATCTCTTTGATTTTAGGTTGTGAGGTACAGATTCAACATTAGATAGGACATTAAAGAAAATGCAGCTGTGGTCACTCACATGAACCTCTTCAACACGTAAATGATTGATGCTTAGTCCCAAAGAGTAATCAAGATCTAGTGTGTGGCCCATTTTGTGTGTGGGGCCTGAAACGTGCTGCTCTAAGTTAAAAGACTCTATAATAGACATGAGCTCCACTGCTGTGCTACAATTAGGATCATTAATGTGTAAGTTAAAGAGCAAGTCACTCCAAATCAACATTTTTTTGCTGATAAACCATATAAATGAGTGTCCGATCGTGCTGTAGACACGTGTAGTCAATAATTCGGCACTTTAGTGCATCTTTGTTAAAATTAAAATATTCTGCCTAAAACTGTCAGCGATGCACCGTCGTCAGGCAAAAACTCTGCACTGCATTCAAATTTAAATCTGCCATCGCTATTGGCTAAGAGGTACACTGTGATGTTAGATGGTACATTATGATGTCACAATGTTGTGAGTGTGTGAATTTGTTAGCGGCTCCGCCCTCTCGGTCTGCTAGGCTAAAGCATTTGTTGCATTTTTCAAACAGTGGTGTGGTAAACACAGTGCAGTTTGGTGGACATATTTCATTTAAATGTACAAAATAGCCATCTTGCTGCCACGTCTCCGTAAGAAATAAATACTCCAACTTTTCTCTGGTGAACAGCTCATTTAAAATAAAGGATTTGTTTGAGATGGAGCGGGCATTTAACAGGGCACATTGAACTGAATCCTGGAGAACATTTGTCTTCTTAACCTGTTGGAGAGGGATGGGTTGTAAACATCTGGTGTTCTGGGTTCTCCGGCCATGAATACAGTTTGTGTCTTTGCTGGTTGATAAATGAAATGGAATGGGGAAACTTTTGGGTTTGTCAGCAGAAGACAACATTTTGGGAATTGTGACCTTTGGAAGACACACAGAAGGCTGTTGCATCATGGGAGGACTGTAGGGAGTGATGCTATTTGAAGTGGAGGTTTGAGCGAAGGCCGAAGAAGATGAAGATCTCTGGGTTGTACACCGTCATGTCTGTGGAAGGGAATCCACCATAGAGGTATATCTATGGGACAGCACAGCATACCAGATGTTAGTGTTTAGCATGCCTGAGCCACGTCGGTTAGGGTGAATACCGTCTCGCCTGAAAAAGGAGAAACGGTTCCAAAACAGGTTAAAATTATCAATGAAACCAAAACTGTGGGACCTGCAAGCAGACTGAAGCCAGGAGTGGAGAGAGAGCAGACGGCTAAAACGTCCATTTCCATGAGAAACTGTGGGGATTGGGTCGGAGATGAAAACAGACATTCCACTGCTCTTCAGAATGTCAAAGAGATGGTTAGAATGCTGTTGAGTGATGACAGACTCCCGGCGTGTAACATCGTTTGATCCCAAATGAAGGATCACTCTTTTAACTGAAGCTGGGATGGAGCACAGCAGACCAGGAAGTTTATCCAGGAGAGCAGGTATGATGGCTGATGGAAAACATCTCGTCATGACGTTAAAAAAGCTGACATTCCTGATTATTGAATCGCCTACCAGTAAAGTGGTAGGTGAAAACAGTGGATGGGGTGTAGAGGGCTCCTGATTTGTGTTCCCGTGGAGTAGTGGAGGATACTCAGTTTGGGTCCCTGTGGTGTCGGGGAACTGGAGGATTGGAGGTGGAGGGGCTCACCTCCTGAGCCAGGGCAGGAGGTCCAGCAGAGTGTCGATTTTACTGATTAATCCATCCATCATCCATCCATCCATCCATCCACCCATCCATCCTCCAACCATCTACTGATCAATCCATCCATCCATCCATCCATCCATCCATCCATCTAATGATCAATCCATACATCCATTCATTCATCTACTGATCCATCCATCCATCCATCCATCCATCCATCCATCCTCCACCTATTCATCTAAACATCACACATTCTTCTAATGATCAATCCATCCATACAGCCATCCATTCATTTGTACATCTGTACATCATCCATCCTTCCATCCATCATCCATCCATCCACAGATCAAGCCATCCATTGATCGATCCACTGATCCATCCATCAATCTGTACATCAGTCATCCATCCATCCATCTGTACATCAGCCATCCATCCATCCATCCATCCATCCATCCATCCATCCATCCACTGACTAACCCTTCCATTAATCCTTCTAACCTGCCACCTATCTATCCATCCACCCATCCATTTTTCATCAATCTGTTCATCCATCCTTCAACAATCAGTCCACTGATCATCAATTCTACCATCCAGCAATCCATCTTTCATCCATCTATCATTCCATTCTTCCATCATCTATCCATTTTTCATTTGTCCATCCAACAGAAGAAACAGTGCTGCTGGCATTCTGATCTACACGAGTGTGTGAGTGCACATGACGCCTCTCGCCTGAACAGACTGTTTCTGTTTGTTCTATTTCATGAGTTTGTAATAATTATTTTTAGAATGATGTGATCCGTGCATTAAAAGAGGGATAAAACACAAGTATTTTTGCATGTTTATTTTATTTTATACATTTTAATATCATCATTCCAGATGACTGATAAAGTTGGCTTCCCTGCCCTGCTGTGTTTTTTGTGTTTATTCACAGAGACTATATTCGCTTTTTATATTTTGACTAAATATTTGAATTAATTCATGAATAACCTGTTGCTACTGAGGCTAGAAGAAAATAAAAAATGCACAAATAAATAAATAACTATAAATATAAAAATAAATGAATAAATCAAGCCTGGGACTTAGGAGGACTGTGTTCCAGGGAATAGTTCCAATCTGGGTCAGATTTAGGCATTTAGAGAACAGTGTCATGTCTTGGTATGTTGAGTAGGTTACATTTAATAGTTGCAGGTAGATACAGAAAAAACATGTTGATGATGGATTCATACCTTCAGTGATTTCAGCAAAGGATTGATTAAGTCTGTAACCTTAAAATGTACAAGCACAAGGCTCTGAACTGTTCATTTACTACATTATGCCACCTACATTTAACAACTAAATGTTCAATATTGTTTTAGAGCTTCACCTGGAAAAAAAGTTGCGCTGACCAGTGGACGAGGTGTCTCCATCATACGAGTCACTCTGCTTGCGGCTGAGCGACGAGCCGCTCTGGCCCTCATTAGGAGCGGAAATATCAATGTTGCTCTTACTCAACCTCTTGCTGGAACTCAGAGTGGGACTGGACTCCCTCAGCCGAGCCGTGTTGTCCTGAGACAAAGGAAGAGGACTCAGTACAGAAAACCTCCACTCACGACCGGAAATTGCACGACAGGAAGACATTTGATGTGTTTTCCCAGGTGGGAATGTGGGAGGGAGAAAAAGTGTCAGTGCAGGAGTGAATCCATTATAGGTGAGTGGATCGGAATGAGAAAAGGGCGGAGGAGAAAATGGGGACATTCCAACACTTTACAGGTGGAAAAAAGGATAAGCTGCTTTTCTGTGGGAGTTAAACACAAATGATAAAAAAATAACACATATGCACCACAGGAACCACTTTGATTTGTGATCAGGAAACTCAAGATCCCATCAAATTAACCATCATAAGTAATTTGTCACTCATTCAACATGTATTTAAACTTTTGTTATTTTACTGCAAATACCTTATTCAGGATATGAATGAGGCTAAAACGCTATTTGTAGAGCAAAAGTGGCATAAAAAACACACAGCAAGATTTTGATTATATGTGAAAGTTGTTTTTGTTCAACCAGAGGACAGATTTTTGTCAAGGACAAATGCCCCATTTGTGAATAATCACTCTTATTCCACTAATGAAAACACTACACACCAAAGGCATGTGATCTTGAGCATCTGAAGTCATTTTTAATCTAAAACGACCCGTGAAATTTTCCTCTGCATACCCCCCTGTGAGCCATTCTTAAAAACGCTGAGCTCCTACCTTCAGGCTCTCAGTGCTGTTGTTCCTGCTGCTGTTGTTGTTGGGGCTGCCGGGCCTCGGGTGGTTGCTGAAGCACAAAGCGTCAAAGCACAGCACTCCGCCCACACAGTCACCCATCAGGCAAACCTGCTCAGAAAACAATTTCAACAATCTCTCCATGAGATGCTTTCAGTCAGCGGCTACCTCAACAGGGGAACAGCTGCAGAGATGAATGGGTGTATCTTTAAAAGGTGGAGGGGTTTGACTCTTGCTATGTCCTCACCTTATGCACAGAAAAGAGTAAAATTAAACAACAAAAAACACGTGATTTTGCAGAAGCAGTGGAAAGGTAAAGGTTTTATTTTATTTTTAAGTCATAGGCTTTTTGTTTGTACTGGGATTTTTTTTAGATAAATTATGGACAGCATTTGCGATTGTCATGATGATTTTCAATTTCTGCAAGGTTGCAGGACTTTGCACTTTGCACAGATTCTGAATAATGTGCTTTTTTAAATTATTCACTGAGTCGTTTCTGGAATCTAGAACCCTTATGTTGATTTTCTGTGAGTTAGAAAGTTCAGAGAGCAGTGGTGCCCCAAAGGGGTGGCTATATGCATGTCTTAAATCAAGACAAACATATTAAAGCCAATAAACAAATGTATTTTAATAAAAATTAAAAGAATCATGTATTTAGTAAATCCTAACTTAAAGGAATGCTATGCAGGTTTGGCTTGCTTTTAGCACGCCCTAGTGTCTGTTAGTGAAAGCAAAAGTGAAACTTATCTCCTCGCTGAGCATTCTTAACACCTTAATCTAACAGCTGAAATGTCTCCCCAGCCTTCATTAACATCTATAGGAGTGATTCATCACTAAATTAAACAAATCAGCTGTGTTCACGATCTAAAACATGCAGGAAGCAGACTGCAGCACTGTCATGTCTGCTCAACAGGGACCAGACCGGCACTCTGAAGTTGCAAGTGCGATATTCTGACTACAGACGGCGGTGGGGTCTGAGTGACATTTCTTTAACCCTGTAAAGGGTCATTTGAGCGCATACTGGCTGAAGAAAATAGTTTTAAAATATGAAAAAGTTGCAAATGATCCCTTTAAATATATGTGTATGCCACTAAGGACCACCCATTTGAAAAGAGTATTGGTCCCAATAGTTTTGTGGGTATGTTTTGAGACAGCAACAAGCAATCAAACTTTGAATACAATTTAAAACAATAAATGGTGTTTGAAATGTTGTCTTTTTCTGAAATGTTTGTGTTTTTACATTTGAGGTAGGTGTTAGATGTGCAGGCTTATTAATTTTTTATGAAAAAGAATGACAAAATTATGCAATGCACATCTACAAGTTAGAGTTACTACAGGGACCAAGATGGTCTCCCACCACTAAATTAGCTCTTCCCCCCTATGAAAGGTTCTTGGGGGCCCAACTGGTTGGTATTGGTGACTAGCCTGGCCTGCCAGACTTGTCCTCTGTTTAATGGGCCATTCCCATCTGTACCGGGTCGGCCCGGGCCGGGTAGCCCCAGTCGGCCCCAGCCTGGCCCGGTTGATTCCACACATCCTTGTCTTAAGCCCATGTGGGCTGATTCTACCCACCAATCAGAGGCTTGCTCTAACGGAAGGTGTGAATTTGCTGTCAGCAGTGGGTGTGTTGGCCCTGGTCGGCCTGAAGCAGACCCCCTCGAGAAGAGGGCTGAGAATGAGCCTTGGTTGGCCCGGAAAAATACCAGGCCACCCAGATATGTAAACAACCTACGCTACCCGGCCCGGGCCGACCCGGTACAGATGGGAATGGCCCATAATTCTGCACAGGGAATGAGTCTGGGAACTCTCCTATTCAAATAACCCCACCCTGTGAGAATTCTAACCGAGCCAGTCAGCGCTGAGTAGCGTACGTCACACACCACAACGCCGAGTTTGTCGAACATGGCGACTGAAGCAGAGTTCGCTGCGGCTCTTTCCTCTGGTCTAAATAACTTGGACACAACAAGTAGAAGCACTAAAAGCCTGTCTTCTAAAGAAAGATGTTTGCGCTGTCGCCAGACGCCATTTTTGACTACAGCTAAAAAACTACAGCGTTGCGGACGTCACACACAGCGATGCTCAGTTTCTCATTAACAACAAAGACAGCGGCGGAGTTTGCTGCGGCTCTTTCCTCTGTTCTAAATAACTCAAATGTCTTTAAAACCACAACAAGTAGAAGCGCTAAAAGCATTTCTTCTAAAAAAAATATAAAAGATGTTTGTGCCGTTGCCAGAAGTTTATTTATTTTTTTTACTACAGCTAGAAAACTACAGCGTTGTGCGGTACAGTTGGGATTTCCATCTTTTTTCTGATTGGTCATTTTTGAGCTGCCTAGTCCCGCCCCTTACGTGCCTCACTGCCTGTGAGTTGTCAGACTCTTTCTCTGTGCAGAATTAAACGAAGACGAGTCTGGCAGGCCAGGCTAATTGGTGACCAAACGTAGAAATAATTTAAACAATTTTGGACTAAATTGCAACAATTAAATCTGCATGACACTGATAAACCCAATGTAACGTCCAGCAATGGTCAGTTTTTAGGTACAGTTTGACCATTTAACATCTGATCAAAAAGGAGACACAAGACTGCATGTGTCCCCTTTAAAATGGCCTGCCTTCATCCCATCAGCTGGAGCTCAGAGTCTCTGCAGCTCTGAACACAGATAACGACATGTCAACAATACCATTCTCTCCTCAAGGTCCAATCTTTCAGATCTTCATGCCTCCATATAAGGAACACTCGGAGCCCGGATTTGCTAAATCAGATATGGTATGAACTTCTACAACTTATAAGCTTGATAATCATTAAATAAACGTTTGTTTGATGCTACTTATAATAATTATAATATAATGAAATGTTTCATTAATCTGTGCTCAATGAATGAAGTTTGAAATGAATGTTATGTTATGATTACAGTGATTGCAATACGCTTCAGCATGTTAATATGATGAGGTCATAATCATTTGCACTCACTCAAGGACAAAGTAAGGTTAAGTTGACCTCGTGACACATAAATAGTCTTTTACCCCAGATCAGAGTCTCCGTATCAAAGAAGGCATGTTTCTGAGGTTGTCTTGGTAACCATTCCTCAACTTGTCAACCTTTGGTTGGCTACACAAATCATAACATGAGAACATCAAAACTGGATCACTCTCGGGTGATCTCTCTGTTCTAGAAAAGCTTCAGACCGGCCACCTGAAGCAAAACCCTCTTTAACCATCAAAGCTTTTGACACGTCGTCAAAATATTTTTGCACCTGCAAAGCTGATACCGCAACAGTTCCTGCAGAACAAGCTCATATTGTTTAGACTCCTTCAGAGTCCCAGACGCGCGTGGTTCCATCCATCTGTCGTGACCAGAGACATCTCTGGACTGAAGCGTCGGTGCCACGGTAATCTACAGCCCTTCGGTGCCAGAGGTCAGTCGACCTCTGACCTTCGGATCTACCAAGAGGGTCTCCGAGAACGGGTGAAGTAGACATGACAGATAGCGTTTGATGTGCTTTTGATAATAATCAACTTCCTAGCTTAACGCAAACCAAATTCTTTTACATCCAGAACTCAGCTCTCCTAGATACAGAAGTTCTGACTAACATCTCATTCACACATAGGTTAGTTCCATCCATCACAGTAAATGCTTAGTTAACTTGTCATGTTTTAATTGTTGGTAAAATAAATCCTTACTTTTATAAACCTGACTGTTTTCTAAATCAAAACGAAGTGTGTACAAGTCCTTAATAAAGAAAGAATCCTAGAATCTTCTGATAAACACAGTAAAGACCAAGCAGGGTTGATATTCTATATTTAGATAGAATATCACAGCTCATTGGTCATAAGTAGAGGTAATATATTTATTGAGCTCTTAAAGCACTCAATTTCCTAAACCCTACACCAACATGGGCCAATCATATGTAAAACCTCAGTGTGATTCTCTTATTTTTGTGTCTCCAACTTTTTATAGCTTAGTGAAATACCAGCGTTAGGAATTTTCTGTATATTTCTTGTTTTTTCTTGTGAAGGTTTTGACCTTGAAAGGTTCTACAAAAACAAACTTTACTTACATAGCAGTGAACCACCCCTTCAGTATTTTGTTTTTTTCTCTGGTAAACTATTTAGAACACCACAAGCAGCTAAGTGAGGAAATCAGTCCACTGAATATCTACATAAATGCTCAAAATTCTTATTGATGCATTTATTTTTCTTAACCACATTGTTGCATTTGCTATTACATTACAAGTCTGGACACAGTTGTAACGTGATGAAGGTTCTCTAATTTGTGGCAAAGGGCACATCTACCCAGCTGGGTCAAGCTGGGTCAAACAGTACTTTTAAATCCACAGATTAAACAAGGAGCCACGATGACTACTCAAGATCATATCCATATCTGCTGCTGTCCCAGGAGGAGGACACTTCAAGTCACGATGATAATAATTAGATAATAATAATTAATAAAACTCATTGATTTTATTACTGTTTAATATAATCATCATAAATGATCACTTGGTTCAATATAATGGTATTTTAATTACATGAAATGAATTATTATGCTTTGGGATAATAATGATTAATTATGATTATGGTTGATGACAGTAAAAGATGTGTTCAGCAAAGAAGGTCAGTTCACCTTATCCATCTAACACAGAGTCCAGATAAATGATAACTGCAACACGTTTTTGACGCATGATCAAAGTTTTCTTGGGGAGAGAGTGGGAGTGTCCTGAGAGCTTGGTAAAACTGTAACCATCATCAGCTTCAAGTAAGTTCTTGAACCAACATCACGGAGGAAGGGAACGGCCGTCCCAAAACCTCCACCTGCTGTTCCAGTCACGCCGACCAGAATAGCTAAGAATAAACGCAACTGTAACCAGCTAACGAAGACTCTACCCAGAGTCATTGATTTCTGAGTTAAATTAAGACGAGAACGTCCATCCGCAAACACTTGACATCTCTGGACCAGATGATCGGACACTCGCATCTCCCCTGCTGGACCGAGTGTCATCTTGGATGAACAACATCCTCCTGATCTCCGGATCCACAAGAGGGTCTCCTGTTTGGGTGAGGTAGAACACAGGAATGCGTTTGATGCTGTTTTCTCTAAGTGAAAGACTCAGGTAG